TATATATATATATACTATTTTTTACTATAAATTTTAGATAAAATATTAAATTTTAGTTTTAATTTTTAATTTTTATTGATTGTTTTGTTTGTTTTTTATATCCTCGTAATAATCGTTAACATGAAAATTCCAATCACGATTTTAATTAAATCCTTATATAAATAAATATTCACGATTTCAAGATGGATAGTTGATTATATATTGCGCTTAAATATCCGCATTAATTATCATAGAATTAATTTATATGTAAATCTTTTTTTCTTAGAAGAAGAAAGAAGTCTAAAAGTGTCCTGAGGCAAAAATAGAACTAAGAGCAATGCAAGTAGGAGCAAGTGAAAAGATTAAAGATAATATTTACGCTTTTTTTGTATCGTCACAAGCACGCGACGCATAACGGCTCTTATAGAAATTGCTGAAATTCCGGAGAAGGTATCAGAAAGAGCTGAAAGTATTAATACGGCAACACGTCGTACGTTATCTCCAAATCACTGTATTCGCATTAAATTATTCTGCATGCCACGAACACGCCGTCAACAGAATGATTTATCGCTCTACCGTTGGAATGGTCATATAAAATTCAGAAAAATATATTCGTCGAGGTTAATATTAATTAATATTCCTTTTTTTTCTCTTACAATTTTACCGATTTTACTTTAGATTAAATAAACAATTTTTATCGTTGAAAAATGATATTCTAAAATTATTGTTTTAAGCTATTTTATATATTTTAGTATTTTAAAATTTATTTAGTATTTTAGTATTTAGTATTTTAAAATTTATTTAGTATTTTAGAATTTATTAATTAATTTTTTTTTAAATTTTTTCTTAAAAAAAGACATAATTAAATATATATTTTATCTTGTTTCAAAAGAGTTTGTATTTTATGTAAGTTACAGATGGAAAATATAAGGCAGCACGCATCACATTTACTCCAAAACGCACGTATATACAGGGTGTCCCCAATTTAAATGTCAAAACGTTAGGAGCGTGTAGGGGACCGATAAACTAAGACAAAAAGTCCTTTAGAGATTTGCTCGTTTTTGCTTCGTTTTGAAGAAAAACGCAAAAAATGAAACCTTAGTTTATCAGTCCCCTACACGCTCCTAAAGTTTTGACATTTAAATTGGGGACATCCTGTATATGCATTCGTAAATTTAAACCACTCTAGATTTCGCAGTTGATAGGTATTTCCTCACAGCAAAAACAATTGCGGAATTGCGTGCGGCTAATAACACGATCCACAGGTATAACCGCATTAGAAAAATACAACATTCCTGTATTCATGTATTCTATGACAATATGCAATGAGATGCGGTTATCTTGCGTTTGCATTAGCTGTCGATTATATCGTTTTTAATTGAGCGATGGCGGTGATTTTCACGTATCCAAATCTTTATTTGCACATTATGTTATGCTAATTTATCGACACAGATATAAATCCTCTCTTTACGCATTTTAATTATATTGTATCTTATAATATTTGTGCGTAACGAAGAAATAATTGGAAGTTTCACAGCAAGATTGAAGTAAATTTGTCATTTGTAAAGTTGTGCGAATTATTGATTTTATCGTTCAATCAATTTATTTTTTTTCAGTTGTATTTTTTGGAAATTATTAGCTTATTCTCTTTATCTGTGATAACTGATAACTTTGAATTTTCCAATTGATTTTACAATTAAAAATGCAACTTTCGTACCTTTCTCATCTTTTAGCGTCTGTCAAATCATCCAGTTTCCATGAAATTCCTCCAATAGATATTCGATTCAGGTGTAAATCTTGTTCTTGTAATCGGCACTCATGTTTTGCATAATCGACTTGATTCCTTTAAATACAATATAAGACACAACACATTTCTCGCAGAAAAATTATTGTCATGCACGTTTAACATCGACCTGTTTTTATCGAAACGATTTAATGGAAAGATCGCGATAATCAAAAATATTAGAAATTAAAATTCCTAAAATTTCACCGCATACGTAATTAATAGCTGGACACGTCACTAAGAGAAAGAAGAGAATAAATATAGCAGTATCACGATAAATTTGAAACGATCACTATTATGCAACTCTCGTGTCTCGACTATCTCGAACCTGCAATATTGAATTCCATTAAAGAAAATTCGAGAAATTTATTCGAGAAATTCTTTATTCGAATAATTTTGATTCGATAAAAATGGACGGAGAAATTCTTTCTCCTCACGAAAATTTTTATTTTATTTATTATCGTGGCTCCGACTAAACCGATCAGTCTGCAAGATCGATGATCGTCGTTGCTTTCAATCGAGGTTTTTTAAAGTTTTCAGATGCACTCACATTGATTAAATTTTTTATTATATGCTTGTAAGATAGAATTTTTTTTAAATTGTGTAAAAGCCGATCAGCTGATTAGTTGATATTAGTCGTCGCCAAGACATTAAATACGCGGATTCTATTTAGTTGTGTTTATTTGCTATATATTTTTCTCTTAATAAGATATGTATATCTGCTGTTATCATGAATTCATTCCGTAAAATATCAAATTTAGAAAAAATTTACATAATTAGTATTGTGTTACCAAAAATATATATAAATGTAAATATATTATTATTATGCATTTTAATAAAAATCTTTGAGATGATAGATTAATTATTCAAAGATAGAAAGATAAATAGGTGACTCAATTTTGAATTGCTATTGAATCAATATTATCTAAAAATTGCCAAAGAGAGTAAATCCGACATTTCACGCGTAGCAACGTGACGTAACTCAAACATCGCGATACCTGTTCATCAGGTCGTGATACGAAACGTATGATACGAAAACCTATATTTGTCGCAAAAACACACCAGACAGACCACACTACGCGTTGATAGATCAATTAAGAGATCATATCGGCGACGCGGAAACGAGATACAATTGTCTCGGGAACGGGGGGATCGCGAACGTTGACGCGCGAGGCGAGAAGCACGCGGCCGGCGCAGCGCTCGCTCGCTCGCTCGCTATCAATGGCCCCGTTGACGTGTGATTAGAATAAGGTCTTATCAGCGTGAGTGTACGCGGGATACTGAATCGTGGAACGGGATATATTCAGTGCCCCTCAAGTCCGGGCCCCTCCTCGCCGTTCATACCGTTCAAAGTGGAGGGACAGACAGGTGCCTCGACTTCTGTCTGTCTGTCTGAGGCCGCCGCCTTGGCCGCTTATTCACATTCGCGGTTAAGCGGTTAAAGCGACAGGCATCTGTCAAAGACTGAGAAAAGATCGGATGGAAAGACGGAGGATCAATCGGCGATTGTTTTTGCAAAACTCGAGATTTGGAAAAATGAAATTTTCGAATTTTTTCGTTCTTGCCATATTATTTGATATATTATTATTGCTTTTATGTTTGTGTTTATCAGATTTGGATCGGTAAACTAAAAAGAAGTTGATTGAAAGAGAAATCTTTTTCTCAATAGAGTGCGCAAGATGAACAAGATGTGAATATATATGTATAATTTATATCAATAAATTATTATTAGGAGAATTAATTTTGTGTCTCGTTTCCAAATATATAGAGATTATGCAAATTTGTAATGTTATAAAAGTCCACGTAATGAGTCGAGAAAGAAAGAAAGGCATCACCATAAATTGCTGTTAATAGGAAGTCAATTGGTTTCAATGTAGTATCATAATTTAAAGATCGTCGAATAAACGTCAAGTTTATCAATACAACTTCACCTCTCAAACTTCATATTTGCATTCGAAATGTAGTAATTTTGTTCTCTACTCTCGCAACGATTAATGTATGGTCTTTATAAGAGATAAATTTCGATATCAACAATTCTTCGCTAACATACATAATTAATGAGAAGCCAAACATAAAATGTGAAGTTCGCAAATTACTTCTTCGGCTTCAATGGATTGAAGTATGTTGATCGATAGCATCATTCGTCCCATAGCAACCTGTCCGTATAATAAATCGCAATAATTTGAAATGTAATGTAATATAATATAATATAATATAATATATATAATTTGAAAAAGATTGAAACAAAAATTGGATGCATTAGTAGGAATCGAAACGACGGATTATTATTGTTTTATTTATTAGAATCAAAGAGAGAAACGTACGATGCTTTAATACCCGCACGTACAATCAGCGATTGCCCTCGAACCAGTACGAAACTATTCGCATTTTTCGAGCGAAATTAAAACATTTATAGACGGATATCTCGATACGAGACGGGTCTCAGAGTGCGTCTTTTAGATGGCTGATTAATATATTAAACGGGCACAGAAGAATGGACTTGCACACATTTAACTGAATGGTCCCATTGAAAAAAAAAAACGGCGCATCGTTGTATTTAAGAGAAAAAAATAAGGTCACATACATATATATATATATACATGCATGTTGTATATAAATCATACTCCTAACGCTTATCATTCATTCTCGCTATCCTATCGCCTCTTTTGACAAGTGTTACAGCATAAATCAATATACATCAAGGAATAATCATGTCCCGCGGAAAGAATCTTGCGGCGCCAGCGAAGAATCTGACACGGTAAATGAAGCACACCTGTTTTCACGTACAAACACGCACACACGTACACACGCAGGTGCATAAGCGATGCCGAGCGCGCCTTATTATCCTCATTTGAAGTCTCATCCTACGAGTCATGCGAGAGATAAACCTGTTGTATCTTTTCCGGATCCGGTTCCGCGTACGGCATTCCGAAATTGAACAATCGCAATTTTATAACGCACGAACGATGAATTGCGACGAGAGGACTCGCGGTGCCGTTTTTCATTAATTTGTAATTAGCACGAAGCAATCTTAAAAACGAATTGATAACAACTTTACGTTATCTCCCATTCCAACTATAAACGCTTTTTGTTTCCTTATAGAGGAAGCTTTGTTTTCGTGACAAAATTTTTTTTTCCATTTTTCTATGCCAATATATTTACAATATTCCAAAATGTTGAAAAATCATTTTTTTTTTTAATGTCCGTATGTGTGTATATATGTATAATATATATGTACGGAATGTATATTGTACAATCTCCAACTTCCGAAATTTTTGAGATATTGGGCTAAATTTTTTAAAAATGAATAGAGTATCATTAAAGAATGGTTGGTATTGAATTTAGAGAGGATCGGGGAAAAGTTCATTTTTTATAAAATTTTGAATTTTTTTTAGAAATGTCCGTACACGCTCTAATTTTCGCAAATTTTGAGATATCGGGCTAAATTTTTTAAAATGAATAGAGTATCATTAAAGGATGGTTGGTATTGAATTTGGAGAGGATCGGTGAAAAGGTTCATTTTTTATAAAATTTTGAATTTTTTTTAGAAATGTCCGTACACGCTCTAATTTTCGCAAATTTTGAGATATCGGGCTAAATTTTTTTAAATGAATAGAGTATCATTAAAAGATGGTATTTAATTTGATGAGGATCGATGAAGGATTAATTTTTATAAAATTTTGAATTTTTTGAGAAATATCTGTACACGTTATAACTTTCGCAAGAGATATCTTCCTCTATGAGGAAGCCAAAATTGAAAAATCCGCTTGCTTTAAGGAGCTTAAGCTTTGTGAGCGAAATAAAATGATGAAAAAGCAATGTGCAAGTTTCTAATTCGCACAATTTTTTTCATATTTTTCTAAATGTAATAAATACATATTTGTAATCGTCGATAAATAGCAAAAGGAGAGAAAGAGTAAAGAAATCTCGAAAAACACTTAAAAAAGCGCAAGTAAAGGAAACAGAATACTTGTAAATAAATTAAGAAGCATCCAAGAGGCAAAGAGACTTGAGAAAAATTTTTTACATAAACAAAAAATACACATAAATTCAATATTTTCGTAATCAATGTAATTCACGAGAAGGAATGTGGAATGCAGTTTACGGAAATGAAAGGGTTAATGCTGCCGGGGTCTTTCTCTCCGTTCATCTCTCTACTCTCATCCTTTCC